GCCGCGGACGTTGTGTCGTGTGAGCCATCGTCTTCTGCAGCCAGGTCGTCGTAGTGACGGTAAATGTCTTCCAGAGTTGTCGTTCTGAAACAGCGCAGAGTGGCTTATCGTCGGTTGTCAACCCTCTTCAAGTAACCCCATAAGAAAAAGTCAGACAGGGTTAAATGTGGTGATCTCCGAGGGTACTCGACAGATCGCCCGAGTCTTATCGATCTGTCTGAAAAGTGATGGCCCTTGTTCTTGATGAGACGTCGTCTCCATACACCTGACGAACTCTTTTGAGAATCCGGTGTACATTTCACTTGCTTACACATGCAATTAAAGACGTATCTCAAATTTATTTAGAATCATTCTAATTGTAAGTCAATATAGAGGCGTGGTTTGATTTTCGTGTGTTCACAGTTTCTCCAATTGAAGCACGTTCTTAAATATTCACTGCTACTTCAACATTAATTTGCGTTTATCGAAACACAATCGATCCTGCGCCATTTTGTTTATATCGATCGCGGGAAAAAAAAAAGGTATACTCCTGTGACATCTGTTGAGTGCAGAGAACACTACGTTCCCCTCGTAAAAACACGACGTGGGGTTCGATGTTAATATTACGTGCTGTAATGTTTGTACAAATCATAGGTCATGATGGGTGAATATGGAGTATTTGGGGGTCGTAACAATCGAAACAGTTAAGTATCTATCGTGTAATGGCTTAGATCCACTCGTTTTATACTAAGAGGATTCCGACTCTGACTTTACTTTCTACACAGCTTAAGGCGGGTCCCCGCCATTTTTAAGTGACATTTATACTGAAAGCTTCGAGTTTTATGTGGGAATCAAAATATAATTCCGGTTTATTCTGAAATAAATAATTGTTTGGTGTTTTCTCTTGGAACATTATTCTGCCAGAACTTGTAACGTAGACTTTGAGAAGGCTTTCGACAACGTAAATTGGAATAAGACGTTTGAAATCTTGAGGAAGGTGGGGCTTAAGTTTAAAGATGGACGAGTTATTTACAGTATTTATAAGCATCAGGTGGCCATAATAAGAATGGAGAATCAAGAAAGACGCATTTATTAAGAAGGGAGTAAGACAAGGTTGCAGCCATCGCCTCTGCTGTTTAATTTGAATGTTGAAAATCAAAATTGGGAGAGAGACAGTAGAAGAATTGAAGGAATTCTGTTATTTAGGAAGCAAAATCTCAAAAGATGGACGAAGAAAGAGGACATTAAAAGCAGATTAGCACAGGCGAAAAGAGAAGTCAAACATTGACCTGGTATTAAGAAAGATTTTTCTGAAGTTGTATATACGAAAGCGAAAAATGGTCAGTGGGGAAACCAGAAAGAAGGAGGGTAGAAACATTTGAAATGTTGAAAATTAAGTGCACTGATAAAGTGCGAAATGAGGACAGGCGATGGACGAAGTCTATGGGAAAATCTTACGAGAAGAAGACATAGGATGGGGGGGGACATCCTGAGGCACCCGGGATTGGTTAATTTGGTAATGGAAGGAACAGTTGAAGGGAGGAATTGTAGGGGGGAGACAAAGATTGGAATTTTTGAGGATGTGGGCTGTAGAAATATGTGGAAATGAAGAGATTGGCGCGAGATAGACGAAAATGGAGGACGACGTCAAACCATTCGGAAGACTGATGACAAACAAACAAACATGTAATGTTTTTTGCAACAGATTGCGTTCACTCTCGTGGATAAAGAGACATTGAAGTAGTTTTCCAAAGCTTAGCTCTCACCTGGCCAGCCAGTTCTTGTAATGAGACGAGCCCTGATCTGCCAGGAGGCTCTCCTTCACGGCAGACAGGTCGACCTTCTTGGGGCGCCAACGGTGGCTTCGTTCAGGGTTTTTCGGCTCGTCCGCCGGACGCCCTACTCTGTTGTCGACGCTCGTGACGCCAACGTCGCTGAGGATCTGCTCTGCCACGTAGCTCCGACAGAGATACTCGTTCATCATCTTCCTGCGGGCACAAAAGAGGTTCTTCGCGGTGTCTTAACATACAGCAAGTCACTACAGAGGCTCCTGTACTACAAGGCTCCATCTCGCGTTAGAATTGACGAGTTACCGGAGGGATTAAATAATTATGCCGGAAATTGAAGAAAGGACAACGAAGCTTTATCTTAAACATAAATTAAATTGATACGTTGGGGTGTAAGACTGTGGAAAATTTGAATACGAAGTCGAAACAGGCGTTAGTCTAATGGTGGGTGAAGGAAGATGATGTTCTCCGGCGTTAATATTCGTATTGATCAGTAACTGCAATAATTTGGTAATTTGAACCTCTTTCTTTGTTTTTTCGGAAGTGGATTACTGGCGTGGGTTTCAGCAAACGAAAGATATTGCACTAGAATCTAATGACTACAATTTTTAAATTTTCAAAAGCCATCGCCTTAAACTCCAGATGCGAAAAGTGGCATTGGGATCAACCGTGAATTCGTAATTTCCAGTTGTTTTTTTATACAATCGTTAGTACTAACATGGCGGACGAAGGAAATTGTAACATGGCTACGCAATGGTGTGTGATTATGTTTTTTCGGAAAACACAGAACTTCCGAACAGTAGTTAATTTTTCTTCAATGTGTAAAATTAATCATGGCGGCTGCACGAATCGAAAAATAATCCTTATTTTATCATGATTTGATCCCACGCTCCCAGCGTTCGAGTCCAGTGTACTATCACAGAACAAAAGCGTATTGTCTCATCGTTGATTTGCATTACTCAAAGAATGCATAAAAACACAATCAGCGCGTTTACAAAAACTGATGTCTACGTAAAATGATTGACTTCATCGCCTGTTACTAATTTTCTGTCACAAACTAACAGGCCAAAGGACATTTCAACATGGATGGTAAGCGTTGCGTTTATTGGTCAATTTGTGATTTAAAATGAAGACGTTCTTCCCTCGACTGTCAGTTTACGTTCGGAACGTAAGTTCATTTAATGAGGTAAATGTTATGGAAAGCATATAAATTACATTGGAATTCCCCTGTCTGTTTTGTTGGTGACAATATTAAAAAGGATATTATAACAGAAGAGTAAAAGAATTACGATAAATTTATTAATCATTCTTCCTTAACAACCAGTAATTCAAGAGACATTTCAACTTAAAAACTTAGACTGCGCGTTCCACTTATGTGGATAATTCTAACAGTAAATGCTAGCGTAGTATATTTTTTCTTTATTTAAGCTAGGAGCATTTGGAATTTGCTGTGAGTGTACTGAGGTCAGCGATACACATTGAGGTCTTTTAAAGAACTTTCTGTACGATATCCGGCGCCTGAATGAGATTAATGTCAAGATTATCTGACAGATGTCCTAAACGTGCTTGAATTTAACTAAGATTATCTTACAGAAGTGTAAGACGTTTTCACAAAATTTAATTTTAACATCGAGAGGGTTATACTTCCTCGCCTTTCCAAAATGTAATTTTAATTTTAACATCGCATTTCCACTTTACCAGTGGACAACCTAAAACCACTTTATTTCTAATGCTGAAAGTGCACGTACCGATGAAAATCCATGGTGTAGAAGGCGTCGCTCCAGTTGCCACCAGAATGATTGTTTGTTGGCGTTTTGTTGGTAACACTGTCTCCATCGATCATCATATTATCCAGTAATAAAGTTCCAGGAAGATAGTTTACATTTAATATGTCATTTACGTTCACAGCGTAGACATCTCGATTTACAATTAACAAATTCACGAAAAAATATAACAGAATCATAGCCACCGCCTCGAAAACGAGGACCAATCACTGAAATTATTTTATAACTGATTTCTCTCACTGCAGTGCGTTGTTCCAATGCAAACACGTGTAGTATTTTAATCCCAAACAGTGGTTACGTGTTCAATGTGTATTTAGTTTTGAGACGTGTATATAATTCCGTCCAACGTAATTACTGAACAAAAATCAGAAAATTATGGAACGCGATGAACGTTAAACAAATTATGTTCGTAATTTGCTACATAAGCCTGCAGGTTTGAGCTTCGGTACGAGGCCACAGAATCACACAGAAAAATGGCTTCGGTTGCGCAGAGATTCTCCTTCTGAACTGACAAGTACGGAAATGTAGATTCCGCGTGCGTGACGATCTCAGTAATTAAGTAAAAAGAAATCACGATGCGTGACAAGAGGGCCGATGATGTCACTTTGTTCGTGGACCGCGCCGAGATGGTTCAGTGCAAAGGTTCGTTGCCTCGTCGTCCTCGCGACTTACAGCCTGTGACGATGCAAAGGTAACGCCGTTAGTTCAGATACGCTGACATTTCTAGGTGTTCCTCAGGCTCCGCGGCAGCAAGGAACACCTAGTAGACCTTCCTTGTCCGTCTGTCCGTCTATGTGTCGCGTATTTCAACACGTATCGTGCAGACATCACGAATTACATGTGCAGCCATGAAAAAAACTTGAGAAAGTCTCCAGATTTTCATGAAATATGGCACAGAGATGAGAATGTAGTCCAAACTCGTCCAAAAATTGATATCGTCTTGCGAAAATTCTTCGTGCTACGTGTGCTCCCAGATGATGCATCTGCACACACGCAAAATCCTTTCGTCGAGGGTTCTTCCTGGTCACGCAACGTAGACCCTTGTGAAATAATTAAAATATTCCCAAAATTGCTTAATTTCACAACATTTCCACACTGAGCGTCTCAGTCGGAGTTATACAACAAAAAATGTTTTCAAGGTCATCATGTATCAAGTGTGAATAAGTCGATCTTACACGCGAACAAACGAATATTTCCTCTTTCTAATGGTGCCAAATACTAAATCAGCCATTTTCTGCTCCGTTTCTAACCTACACACATGCGTATATAACGCCTGTATGTGGATAAACGCACATATGTGTTAAAATCGACAGAGAGAGAGATTTTACTGACGTATTAGAAAGTTACAAAAGGCCATTTTCGTCAGTCATAATGAGAGGCGTGTTATAAAATAATATGAAAA